AAAGGGGCAATTTTAAACAAAAACAATTTAAAGCAACTTGTACAAGAAGGAAAAGTCAAAAGAAAAGAAAGAAAAGAGGAGTGACACAAAACAAAAGGAGATAAAACTGAAAGAAACAGGAAGGGGAAGGTGCAGCAGGGTGGGGCAAGCAGGGAGGAAGGACAGGCACGAAGGGGCTGGAGACAAGGGAGGAAGGACAGGCACGAAGGGGCTGGAGACGAGGGGGGAGGCAGAGTCGCTCACCTCATGGTCCTTGGGATTCTGATCTGTGACCAAATCTAAAACAGGCTCTACGTCAGCAACTTCGTGGGGAAATAAACTAAGAAATGTTTTATAGCCTCGAACCTATCAAATAAAGAGATGCTGAATTATTATAAAATTTAAAAATACAGACAGCAGCAAAATTGCCTTTCTTCCCTTTCATCAAAAATCACCACCTATGTGACCCACTGATCAAAGAGAATTCTGTCACATTACAGTGGCACAATTTAATAAGACCACAGTTACCACAAGAAAGCTACCCATGGCCAGGAGCGGTGGCTCACGCCTGTAATCCCAGCACTTCGGGAGGCTGAGGCAAAAGAACAGCTTGAGACCAAGAGCTGGAGACTAGCCTGGGCAACACAAAAACTTAAAAATCAGACAGGCGCGGTAGCTCAGGCCTGTAGTCTGAGAGGCTGAGGCAGCAGCGAGAATCATTTGAGAGCAAGAGTTTGAGGCTGCAGTGAGCTGACTGCACCACTGCACTCCAGCCTGAGTGACAGAGCAAGACCCCATCTCTCAAAAAAATAAATAAATAAAATAAAAAGGCTATCCTTCCTTCCTAAACTGGCTAGTGTTGTTCATTACCATATTTACGCCATCAGTCATTAAATGTGTTCATTTACATGACTGTCTTCTGACATTTATGAAGAATAAATGCATACAAACCTCAAGGGCTCAAATTCATTAACACTTCCATGAAACTCAGTGATACCACACCTTCCGGAGAAATCCTAACCTCAAACAGCAGAGCTACAGAGGCCTGCGTGTCCTTGGCAGCCCACCCGCAGTGTCCTCTCGCTGGCCAAGGACTCTCCCACCAGACAACAGAAATACTGCCTCACCACTACGAACCCCAGGTCCTACCCTGAGATGGCTGTGAGTACTCCCATAGTCAAAACTGCCAACAGTGAGCCTCTGGGCCAGCACAGAGACACTTGCAAGCTTGCAAGAAAAGTAGACTATGGGACCCCAACCTAGACCCACTTGCTCAAAATCTATAGTACAGCAAAATTTCCAGGAAATTCACCTGCACATTAAAGTGTGAGAGGCACTTCCATTCTACCGTCTCGCGCTGTCACTCAAGCTGGAGTGCAACAGCGTGATCTTGGCTCACTGCAACCTCTGCCTCTCATGTTCAAGCCATTCTCCCACCTCAGCCTCCCAAGCAGCTGGGATTACAGGCATGTGCCAACAAGCCCAGCTAATTTTTGTATTTTTAGTAGAGACGGGGTTTCACCGTGTTGGCCAGGCTGGTCTCGAACTCCTGACCACAGGTGATCCACCCACCTCAGCCTCCCAAAGTGCTGGGATTACAGGTGTGAGCCGCCGCGCCCGGCCTCCTTTTCCCTTGTAAGAACTTTTTCTGAGTCAGTCTCATCTTCACCCCATTCCCTTCCTAGCTAGATGGTGCTTCAATCTATTCAAATGCAAGATGCTAAATATCTTGACACTGTTTCAGCCAAAGGGCCCACATCACTCAATTCTGATCCCCAACATACAGTAAAAAGGGACAGAATTAAACCCACAACTTGTGTCCGAGAACTGTCTGTCTTGAGAAATAACATTTTGGAGGGTAACCTCTGGACCAAGAATACTACAAAAGCATCTGTCAGCTCTGAAGGGCTGTGGTAACGTTACCTTGGTGATGATGTAAAGAAATTTAAAAGCCAGATGCACAAGGGAAGCTGGAGATGTCTGATCCTGCACTATGTCCAACAACAAGTTCATCATCCATTCTAGGGAAAAGCATATGAAACATTTACTGTAAAAGTGAACATCAACATGACACTGAGCCCCACCAGGTGTGGTGGCTCATGCCTGTTTTCCCAGCACTTTGGGAGACCAAGGTGGGAGGATCACTTGAGGCCAGAATTTCAAGGCTGCAAAGAGCTATGGTCCTACTACTGCACTCCACCCTGGGCAACAGAGCAAAACCCATCTCTTTTTTTTTTCTTTTTGAGACAGAGTCTTGCTCTGTCCCCGAGGCTGGAGTGCAGTGGCGTGATCTCGGCTCACTGCAACCTCCACCTCCCAGGTTCAGGCGACTCTCCTGCCTCAGATTCCCAAGTAGCTGGAACTACAGGCACACGTCACCACGCCCAGCTAATTTTTGTATTTTTAGTAGAAACGGGGTTTCACCATGTTGGCCAGGCTGGTCTCGAACTCCGGACCTCAGGTGATCCATCCACCTTGGCCTCCCAAAGTACTGGGATTACAGGCGCCTGACCCAAAACGCTGTCTCTTAAAAAACAAAAACAAACAAGCAAAAAGACATAGCTAGGTTAAATGCAAGCAGAAGGAAAAAGATATTCCAACCAATCACGAATCGTAAGAGAGCTGGAGTGGCTCTGTGAATATCAGACAAAGTAAATGTCAGAACAAGTAATATTATCAGAGATAAAATGGATGTTTCATAATAATAAAAGGATCAATTCATCATGAAGGCTTAACAATTCTGTAAGTATACACACCAACCAACAGAGCTTCAAAATAAGCAAAGAAAAAGCTGAGAGAAATGAAAGGATAGGCCAGGCGTGGTGGCTCAAGCCTGTAATCCCAGCACTTTGGGAGGCCGAGACGGGCGGATCACAAGGTCAGGAGATCGAGACCATCCTGGCTAACATGCTGAA